CTGGAGGACTCGTACGGCGAGTCGCAGGACGACAGACAGGGAAAGATGTTATTACACACGGAGTACTCCCTACTATCGCTCCTACACGACATGCCCGGAGTCATCCACCACTGGGGCCTCTTCAAGGACGAGGCGCTGGAGGAACGGGAGGTGTCCGGCGGCCAGTGGGTGTACACCGGGAACACCAAAAAGCGTATTTGTCTGGTACTCGACTGCCTGTGGGCTCACGATTTTAGTCCCAAATCCGTGGATTTGGTTAATCTCCAGCACCACGTGATTAAGGAGAAGAAGTTGCCGGAGAGGGAGGCGTTACGGATATTTCTCGAAGTCGTGCGCATTGTCCGCGACCTCCATCAGCGCAATATCGTGCACCGGGATCTCAAGCTCGGCAATATGGTGTATAATAGGCGCGCCCGTACTGTCACTCTAATCAACTTCTGTTTGGGAAAGCATTTGATTAGCGAAAACGATTTGCTGACCGACCAGAGGGGTAGCCCCGCGTACATCAGCCCCGACGTGCTCAGCGGGAAGCCCTACTTGGGAAAGGCGTCGGACTGTTGGGCACTCGGCGTCGTGTTATATACCATGCTTTTCGGTCAGTTCCCCTTTTACGATAGCGTTCCCCAGGAGTTGTTCCGCAAAATAAAGTCCGCCGAGTATTCGGTGCCCAAAGAGAGCCGGGTGTCCGGCAGTACGATCTCCATCATACATAAGCTACTGGTGCTCAGCCCCCGGGAGCGTATGACCGCCGAGCACGTGTTGGACGCGTTGCACACCTCGCTGTCCCTGTGGTTGTCCACCAAGAATATGGCGGCGCAGCTGCAGGTGGTGCCCGATATCGACCACCAGTTGAGTGATTGTAATGACAATAAAGCGGACGAATCGGCAGCTAATGAGTGCCAGAAGTCGCAGCTTAAGACCACTACTACTCGCGAGGTGTGTGCTGTCAGTGGTTATAGTCATCCGAGTGGTGGCGGTAACAGACAGGACGTGCCGGTGGTGGTGGAGCCGTCGACCAGCGGCTCCCATAATACGAGGCATACGTACGTCCGGCTGACCAGTGGTCGCATGAGAACCACTCCCATCGGGACCCTTCCGATTAGGCGTATCGAAAGCGATGCCAAAACCCTGACCTTAGGCCAGATGATGATGTTGAAGAGGTATGTGTCCAATGGTGGTAACGATATGTGAATTTACGGTGAATTATGTGAATATTAGCGTAATTTTTTAATTGTGTTTTTTGTTTAAACAATTTTTTAATTGTAAAATATAGTGTTTATGAGCTTTTTTATAAATTGATCAAGTACAGTACTCGATTACCATTATTATAATATAAATCACTGATTAGACAGTAATTAAAACAAATCATTTTTATTCGCAATTATTTAAATTAATTGTATTTATAAATATAAAATATGTTTTTATAATTATAATCACTTGAATAATAAAAATGTTTTTGATACACTATATTTTGTACCTGGTAATTAGTAAGGCATTTAATACATTGAGTCAATAATCATTTTGTGTGTCATATAATGTGCATATCATTTGACTTTTTTTATAAGTTATTTAATTAACAAGTAAATAAACTTTCAAATTGTGCGTGATAACAAATGTGCTGGCTAACTCATTTAAAATCGCCATCGTGGGGAATGGGAGGCATGTCCTCATCGCTGGCACCCTCACCACCATCATCGCCACCATAGTCACCCATACCGCCCATACCCCCGTAATAATCCATTCCTGCGTATTACAGATACCCTATTAATGCCATGGGATATGCCTGTCCTCAATATAATGGGGTGGGGAGGGGTCACCCCTAATTTGCCTTACCGTGCGATCCGAAAGGGCCGTAGTTCTGGGCGAACTTAGCCATCTCGCACTGCATCTTATAGGGCTTGGCCATGGAGTTCATGTCCTCCGGGTCGTAGTGTCGGCCGTCGTCCATCATACCCGACAGGCCGTCCCGCGAGCCCCGACTAATCTCCTCGGCGTTCGGCTCAATACAGTTAAGACCCTTCAGGAAGTGAGTGCACGAGTCCCACGACTTGGCGATCCTATTAATGGTTGCATTTTATGGTGTGATTTCTAGGAGGGAACTGGTGGTGAGTGGTGAGGGCTACTGATCTGCAGTAAGGGTTGTTGTTTTCGCTGCGAAACATCCCGAGTCGGTCCCCATCGTCCTCCGGGTCGTTGTCGTCCGTGAAGATCCTCTTCAGGCCCAAGCATTTGGCGAACTTGTCTCGGATGGGCTCGAACTGTGCCTTCCATTCCTCCTCCTCGCAGATGGTCTTCAGCGATAGGTCCCGCCAACGCATATTCAACTCCATGTCCGGTTCAGGCTTTTTCTGGCCCCTGGCCTCAGCGCCTACAGGTTTACGAGTAATGGCAGAGTGTATTATGCACTGGTATGGTATTGTACGGTATATTATACATATGTAGTATACTATTGTATGGTATCGCGTATTATGCAGTAGTATACTATGGTGTATGTAATTGATAGAATAATTATTGTGCTAGCTAACAATTAACAATTATTTTGTATTATATTTTCTATGATACGATTCCTTTCGTGATATATACAGTATATTATATAACTTGCGAATGAAAAGTGAAAAATATTTTTTTTGTTGCGAAAACATTTTGAGTGATTTGAAAGTTAAGTAATTTTGAACACTCGCTGCTGTAATATGTAATATGCTATAAAATAGACATCGATCATTTACGGTTCATAGGGTTTTTGGGTATAAGTTATATTATATAACTTTGAATATAAAGAGAATTTTGTGTTTTTATAAGTCATTGAAATTGTGAGTTTGTGTTAAATGATATTGATTATAGCTGGGTGATATTTTTTAATTATTATTTAGACTATGAATAAAACCAGAGATTTATAGCAAAAACTCATTTACTTACCGGAATTTATAGATAAAAATACGGTTATAGCTATGAATAGGCATAAACTTAATGTAACCATTTTAACCAAGGTATCCAAAAAAAACTATTTAAACTAATTTTGAGTACAATTTTGTTAAACCTATGAAGACTTTAACGTCTTATTTATTTTGATACACTGGACAACAAAAACACTTAACAACTGTTGCCGTGTTTTTGTGTATTCTTACAAAAAACATAATTATATTATAATTATTATTGATTTTGTCTGTACTTTGTGTATTGGAAAAGTGTGGCAAATATTATACTATACATAGGTAATATTTTATAGCTGATCGCTATATATGATATAATAAACAGTTTGTAATATACCTGTATACAATAAGTAGATGTTAGGCTTAACATTGTTAGCCTACTATCGATTCAATATATTTCAATGCCTTTAATATTAATGAGATCAGAGTTTTCTAGCATTTCATTGCACCTGTAAATAGCCCTCAGCCTTGACTTTGAATTGATTTTTTGATTACTACAGTATATAATAATATTATTCAAATACGAGTGTATTTATTATTCACGTAAAAGCCTTAATTAATAAACCATTTGATTGTTTGCTATAATCTATAGCCCTATTAATAAAATTAATAACTACTGAAATAAATAAGTAGCAAAAAAAAGTTAATGCATTATATAGTATAGGGAATTCTGGTATGACTTAAAAGCCTAACCTTTTTAAGGCAATTATATCACTAACTTTTTGTCTTAATCTCTAATTGATCGGGGTAAAGACAGTGAGTAATTACTATAGAAAAAACTTAATTACAATTCATGAGCCTAGTTATGCCATGAAAATTCAATGCAATTCTTGCTAGTTAATAAATAATGCATTCGCTGTAAGAAATAGATATATATTTTTGTTGAAAACTTTTCAAATCCATTCGTATTTAGTATTTCATAACATCGATAGAAATCACAACTCAATTAACTCGCTCTCGGAGTATAATATTGTATATAAATGAAAGTGAAATCGATTTTTGTCATCAGAGATAAAAACCTTAACTAAAGTA